CCCTAAACCATTCCAAAAGTCTAGTCAATAATCATTTCTTGCTTGATTACAGAACCCATTGTTTCTGAAACCTATTTTCTTCATTACAGTGTTCACTTTCACAATAGTCTGCATTCTGCTACACTTTCATTAGATCTTGGTATGTAATTGAGGTTTGATAGATCATCTGGACCATCTTGGTATCATAGCAGACAGCTTTTCTCTAATATACTTTCTTCCCTACAGAGCATTTTCTTCAAAAAAATATATTTTTTGAACTTTTTATGTGAGAACTGCTCACAACTCATCATTTCCTCTTTCTGTGGGGTTATTTTGAAACTTGAGAACCCAAGAAACCAACTCACCCGTGTTGTTGTCATCAAAGAAATAATTCTTGTGTCCCACTTTTTGTATTGCATCAACCAATTTTTTCATGGTGGTGGGCTCCCCATTCTTTGATGACTATACTACAAGCTAAATTCCCACTTGTGCTTTGCTTATCACAGCTTGGGGGAAATTTGCCTTTCACTATAGCTGGGAAATGTTGAATAAACAAAGTAGCCTAAAAGAAGTAGGCATGTAAAATTGATTATACAGGAGCTGTGTGACAAGAACTCATCAATTCTTCTTCACCACAAGGAGTCAGCTAATGGATCAGTTTGATCAAACAACATTTGCTTTCAAGATGAATTGAAACATAAATCACTTCAAACATTTTAGTGGAATGGAATTCGATATCCCTCATTGTTAAGCAATAGATTTATCAATGATGAATTGTTGAGTTTAGGGGCTCAAATCCTTCGGCTCCATGTAAGATTTCCTGGTGTCAAGCTTTGTGCTCTGAAATTGATGATACTCTCCAATTCCATCATAAAATTTTGTTCCCATTTTTACTACTGGGCCCTAAGGGTCATCTTTACCAGGGCCTAACTCCTCGGCTTCACTTAACCACAATTGGTACAGGACAGCCTCATCATTTTGATTCGTTTTGGTGGCCCTATGGCGTATCCAATATCCAGGGTAAGGAAATCTAAGTCTCCCCCAAGAATGAAAGAATGTTCCTCTTTTGTTTATATGATCTTAGTGAGAAGAAAGCCAAAGATTGTGCAATTATGCCATCGTCTCCATCTTCCTTTCTCTTTTTCTAACTAACAAGAGTTGAAATTACAATGGATATGCAAAAGTTTTTCTCAATCTTCCTTTCTTCATATTCATAATGGTGTTCTTGTTTTGCTTAATCTTAAAGAGTTCTTTGTAGTTTAGAGATTGGTGCATAATTCTTTTTTCAAAGAGCAAGATTTTGAGCAGTGTTTTAATTTTTTTCAAATAAAAAAATAAAGATTTTTTTTATACTTAAAGTTGTCAAGATTTGATCTTTGATCATTAAAATTAAGAGTTTAATATTTTATCAACAGATCACGAGATTATTAAAATGAACACAAAAAAAAAAAAAACAAAAGAAATTTTTTTATTTAAAAAAATAAATTTATTGAGAATGGTAGCAAATAATTCTTGTTGGCCATTAATACTGAAAATTTTATTTGCTATCTTGTATGTCAAAGGTTGCAAGTATAAAAGAATGGGTGATATGATAAATCTGTGGTAAGCAACCATTTTCATTATTAAAAAAAAAAAGAAAAAAAAATAAAAATAAATATGTAAATAGTTAATTTCCTGTTTCTTGTTTTTTCCATTAAGTTTTTGTAAAGTAGAAATTTTTTAAAAGAAAATGATAATTTAAGGCTTTCTAACTTAACAACAAAAATTGAAGATCTAAGATTATGCAATCAATGTTCTTGCTTGAATCCATTTTGTTTTCTCAATATTTTCCTTTTTTAATGAAAAATACTATACTAATAATAATAATAATAATAATAATAATAATAATAATAATATAAATGGCAGGTGACATATGCACTTCCAACCAAAAGGTAGTATATAAAGAAAGGGAAGGCATAGATGATAGATATGTGCACATTTCTAGTGAATTAATTAATTAACATGATATTATAATTTAAAATGTACAAAATGAAAAGGAAAAATATTGAAATCCAAGTAATTATTTTTACAAAGATATATCAATCTAGATATAAACAAATATTATAAGTCTTGAAATTTTAATTTTAGACATTAAATATCATCTTTTAAGTAATTTTATGAATCAAAGAGACTATATATTAATGAATAAATTGTTTGATGACTTCATGCATGGAAATGGGCAAGAAACACGTTGCACGAAGATAGACTTTGCTGTATATATTCAACTCTTTAGTTTTTATTTTAAGAAATTATCAAATATATTGATAATAAAATATTTTAATTTAACAAACAGAATTAAAATGATAATACATATTTTTTAGTGTATATTTAAAAAAAATAATTAAAAAAAAAGACATGGGTTATCATATTAATCTCGTTTATAGAATTAAAAAAATTTCATTATTAATGTATCAAATGATTTTTTTTATTTTAATTATAAAATGTATAAAAAAGTATACCAATTTAGTTTTTTTAAAATAGTTGTGAAAAAATAAATGCAAACCAATCAGCTTAATGTAAATGTTTCATAATCTCATAAATTGTCATGCTTTAATGATTTGAACACGAAAGCTTGATTTAAAATTTTAAATACTAAATTTCAACTACGAGACTTCCCCCCCATTTTTTTTATACAATGAGACGTCCCTTAAAATGTTGATAAATATTTTATAACTACGTACATAATCATGGAGTTTTATTAGTGAATAATTTGTAAATATGTACACATCCATAATTTTTAGGTAATTTTTTATTTTTATTTATGATTTTTAAAATTTAATTTTTATATTTATGATCTTTTAAAATTTTCTATATCCATCCATTTTATTAGCAATCGTTAAAAAATTAACGAAATATGTCATTTCAATTTCACATGAATGTGCATGTGATACAAGTTTCAATCCAAAATTCAAATGAACCCATAGCTTTTGCCACTTAGATGTCCAAATGGATGTTTATGTGGTGTTTATGTGGTAAATCCATTATATCTTAATGACGATCAACAAAAACAGATGAATTTAAAATATTTTTAAAAAATCATGATGTAAAAATTAAATTTTAAAAGTCATAAATAAAAATAAAACATTATACAAAAATTATAGATGCGTGAAGCAATTCACATGTAGTATTAATACAAATATATAATCAAATTCAATGTTGTTTGAATAGGCTATAACTCTTAAAAATGGATTACATCAACTTCAAAACTAAAACAAAATCGAAGAAAATTAAGATTGAACTATAGTCAACAACCTTGATTGAAAAACTATAAATATTTTTTCTTAAAATATATACATATTCTTTTTTAAATGAATTGATCATTGATTCCATCTATAAATTTTATTTATATCAATTGAATATGACATTTCAACAAAGATATAAGCAACAAAACCTATATAATCAAGTCTTACATTGTATACTCAATTCACCCTAAAGATCAGTTTCTTGCTCTAAAAGATAAAGTAAGATTTTGGACGTGCGGTTCTGCCTTTGAAAGGCATGCAATGCAAGTAAAAAAACTTTTGACCTACATTTAATTGTTGGTAGTATTATAGTTTACTTTAACTTTTCTTTCTTTTTCCTCTAAGTTTTTTGGCTTTACAAAAATGTGTGCAATGCTTTTTTACTAGCAATGTGAACCTTTAAGATTCCTCCATAATTACATGCAGGTGGACGAGTTGAAAAAGCTAAGCTTAACTAACTTTGGCTTGAAGCTTTGCATCAAGACATTAATATTGTTATTGCCTTTGGCTAGATATATGGACAATGCTCTTGATTTGAGTTCATTGCAAAACAATGTTATATACAGATTTGAATTCAAGGTAAAAAAGAGAAATAGTGTTTTTCGTTAAGGTTTTATTCAATGTTCACTTCTAATGCGGTGAGAATTCATTTTTATTACACTGAAATTACATTTAAAATCAAAACGATACTCATATTTGCATTGGAGCGATTCATCGAAACAGGCTCTCAATCATGCATGTTGTTTTGAATGAAATGAGGTTTGGCATTTTTGTTATTAGTTTTATCAAAAACTAGTAAAAAAAAAAAAGAAAATAATATTGGGAAAAATGGGCTGTTGCCTGCACATATCATCAAATTTCAATCCAATTATTTTAAGGGTCGATCTAATGTTAGTCAATGATACTTTTTAATAGTTATAAGTAAAATTAATTTTGGTAGGCATTTTTCAAACTACTTTTAAAGTTGTTTGAAACAGTTTTCAAATAATTAATTAGCTAATTATCAACTCACTAAATTTGACTGTATCTTCTGCCCAAACTGGGAAACATTCACATCCTATCTTTGAAGGTCATGTTTTTCATTGTTTTTGTTTCAAAACATAAAGTTTTTTACAGAATTTTAAGGCAATTGATCATCTGATAGTATTTATCTACAAAGAAAAGATTATGTTTATGTATTCATTTTGAAAATTAAAAAAAAAATGGTGAGAAAAAACTATTGAATGGATCGGCGATTAATCGCACCGACCACAACTATTGAAAGGCCATGATACGCTGAAAAAAAAAAAAAAAAATATATATATATATATAATATATATATATATGTACATGGCCTAGCCGTTATAAGCCGAGCCGCACCGCCTCTTTCCAAATACATTTCCTTTTAACGTTCATATTTTTTAATTTGGGAGATGTTATTTCAACGTTCATATTTTTAATTATATAATTAATTTATTATTTTTTATAATTAAATAAAATAATTAAATATAATTTTTCTAAAAATAATAATTAAATAATTCTTAATCGATATATATAGACACCCATTAACCAAATTTTTAAAATTTTTACCCACCAGAAAAATAATAAACGGTCGAAACGGGGTATAACCGGTAAAACTAAAAATTGCATTTGGAATGAATTTTGGGTTCATTTGCATTTGCCAACCTTGCTCATTGTACCTAACCCCGGTCAGATTCTAACCCCAATGTGACCATCTTTTTTTTATTTAAAGTGAGAGGAACTGGTTTAGAGGCCAGCTGGGTTCTGATTTGTGAAAAAGTCACTAAATCTTCCCATTCATCTCTCCCTCTCTCTCACATTGAAAAAATAAAATTGTTTTTTTTCTTTTTAGATGAACAGTCTTAGACTATTGTAATTTGATTGAGTAATGATGTAAAAGAAAAGAGACAAGTGGAAGAGAAAGAGAAAAGAAAAAGGAGAATTTCTAATTTCTTCTCTTGTAGGTTTGGGTTTTGGGGAGGGGTGTTCATTATTTTTTTGGGTTTTCTTTGAAGCTTGTGTTGTTGGGTTTTGTGGGTTTTGGATTCTTGCTTTAATTTTTCTTGTTTTGGATGGGAACTGAGAGGAGGGAAGAAACAGTGTTGAAGAAGGAGAAGAAATCTGATGGGGAATTTAAGAGAGGGCAATGGTTGTTTCATAGTTGTATACTATTACAGCCTTGTACAAGTTGGTCTTGTTTTAGACAAGGGAGTTGCTCTTTTTGCAAGTGAACATCCCTTGAGCACTTGAAAAAAAATTTTCTGACCAAAAACAACCATACACATACATAAAAACTAAAGGCTACTTTAAAAACAACAAGAGAAAGAGATCTGTTTTTAAAAGAGTGTTCTTTTCATCAAGTTCATCAACCATGAAGAGATCACTTGGCAGCTCAGATTCCTTGGGTGCTTTGATGTCCATCTGCCCAAACACAGGTCTAATAAAACAATCCCAATTTTAATTAACTTCACTTAATTCTCTTGTCTCTTCACTTATAATTCAACCATTTCAAAAAAAAAAAAATCTTGGATTGACATTCATATATGAAATTAAAGTACGTTTACATTTTTTCTTGCTTTGTTTCATTTAGTTATTTTGCATAATACGCTGTTTTAGTATTTTAATTGTCTATAATTTGTTCGCTTTTGGTACAGATGAACATAGTCCAAGAAACAACCATATTTACAGCAGAGAGTTTCAGTCGATGTTGGATGGATTAGATGAAGAAGGGTGTGTGGAAGAAGCAGGCCATGTTGCTGAGAAGAAGAGGCGGTTAAGTGTAGATCAAGTTAAGGCCTTGGAGAAGAATTTCGAGGTTGAAAATAAGCTAGAACCTGAGAGGAAATTGAAACTAGCTCAAGAACTTGGTTTGCAACCTCGACAAGTTGCTGTCTGGTTCCAAAACCGCCGTGCTAGGTGGAAGACCAAGCAATTGGAAAGGGATTATGGCCTTCTCAAAACCAGTTATGACACTCTTAAGGTCAATTATGATACCCTCCAGCATGACAATGAAGCTCTGCTCAAAGAGGTAATAATAAGTACTTGGGTAATGTGCTAAGTTCAATTTTTTTGAAGTGTAATTCTAGCAATTCGTCCAATAAAAAGAGTCCTTAATTACTTTTAGCTTGTTTTGACTAAAAAGGTTTTTGTTTCTCCATCTATTTGAACTTCGTATGATTAGATTATATCTAATTTTCTCTGTTGATGATGCAGATAAGAGAGCTGAAAGCAAAGCTGAAGGGAGAGAGCACAGGGAACAATCTATCTGTGAAGAAGGAGGTGATTGTGCCCGAAACCGATAATAAAACACTGGAACAAAGTGAACTACCTCCGGTTTCCTCTCTGGCTACCTTATCAGAGCCAGCAGAACTGAACTATGAGAGCTTCAACAACAGCAATGGGTCAGTTGGCGCCACCCTTTTCTCAGACTTGAAAGATGGGTCATCAGATAGTGACTCAAGCGCTATCTTGAATGAAGACAACAACAACGCGGCTATTTCTTCATCTGGGGTCCTACAAGGCCAACATCTTTTGATGTCACCGACAACAACCTCTTCACTCAATTTCAACTCATCTGCTTCTTCACCATCCTCCATGAACTGTTTCCAGTTCTCAAAAACAACCTATCAACCCCACCAATTTGTGAAGATGGAAGAGCACAATTTCTTCAGTGCAGAAGAAGCTTGCAATTTCTTTTCAGATGAGCAAGCTCCAAGTCTTCATTGGTATTGCCCTGAACATTGGGACTAAAAAGAGAAGCCAAAATCAGCATGTCTGTAATATGGGTCCAAACCAAATGCAAGAAAAATAAGGCAAAACACAAATTTGGGTATCTTAACTAAAGCTCCAAGAATGTTGTAAAATGGGAATTATGTAAGAAGTTAAACTACCAATACCAAGATCTCCAGCCTGTGCAAAGTTGAAAGATGGAGAGAAAAAACGGGAATTTGGAGCTGAAGAAGAGGCAGAGAGAGGGCTTAGGCGAAAGGTGACACCAAAATTGGTGCGGGAATGATTAGGTCGTTTATCGTAATTGAAAGTTTTTATGTTTCTCTCTTCTGCTGTAAATGGAAAAATCTCAGCTATCCATTGGAGGAAAGTAAAGGTTCCTTCTAATGGAGAGAAGCAGAAAAAAAAATAATCATCAATCATCATTTTCCTTAAGCTTCTTTTTCTTGTTTCTTTATGCAAAAACAAAATGAAAGGCCAAATTTTAGTTTTTTCAAATTCAAGTTAATAACGTATTATTTCAGATTTCTGTGTGTTTTTAACTGAATTTGCCTAAGTTTTTTCTTGAAAGTTGAAAATTTTTGGCCCGACTTTAGCCCTTTATTGTGACACCAAATTCTTGGATTCCTGCCCTGTGAGCTTAAACAAATAAGATTCAGGTTAAATTAAAGAAAAACAAAAGCAGAAGTGAATTAGCATAGTTTTATAGCTTAATTAGGAAAATAAGAATCAAATTTGAAAATTTAAAGACACTTTTTAAAACGTGTATGTGTGTTTAGCAAAAATAAGAATATCAAAAGAATATAATATTATATAAAAAACTCAGATTTTTTTATGAATTTTTCCACAAACCAAACATAGCCTACCTAATTCACCACCTGAGTGCCAGTTCAACATCAAATTGGTGTTGCAACATGTTGAAAATATGGTGAACACTGGAACCTTTTCCATGGGTATAATTACTACTATACAAAATTGAAATTTTGAGTCCATTGTTTCAATGGTTTCTTAATCTTAAGTTTCAGGTGACGTAGAATTCGCTTGGTAGTCAATAAATAGCATGTATATTTGTTGTTTTGCCCAGCAAAATTTTTTTAAAAAATAAAATAAGTGGCTATGGGAAAAAACAAATGATCATGTTGGGAAAAAAATGGGATGGTTAAAGTAATAGTTTTGCCCAAAATTGTAGTGTTACAGAATATTTGCTTTTCAGCAGTAGGAGTGTTTGTTCTGTTTTTTAAATAAATAAATAAATAACTTAACCAAGCAGTGAATACTAAAACTTAAAGACAAAACCTCTGCAAAGAAAAAAAAATTCATGGGAAGAAAACTATTAAATTAATTTACAATAATTAAAACATTTAACTTTGGTTATAGAACTTTAAATTACATTAGCATTGGTAGAGAGAAAAAAAAATTCTATGCTTCACCATTTAGCCATGCAAATGAAAGGGAATGAATAAATAAAAGAAAAGTAATTAAGAAACAAATAGCACCAATGCTTATAAAAAAATTAGTAAAAATAATAACAAAATAATAAAGAGAGCAAAAAAGATTAGGATTGACAACTCAATTCACTTTTGGTGAGGTTTAATCAATCTGACCTTATAAGATTGATTTTTTTTTTTAAATTGGGTTTTGGGTCAGGTTAAATCAGATCGCATAATGTTAAGAAAAAATCGAAATTAGGTCGAATTCAAATTTTAGATAAACTCGATTTGATATTATATAAAAATAATTTTTTAATTTTTTATTTATATATATTTATATAACTATATATTTAAATATTTATATTAAAAAATAATATTTTATTAATTTTATGTCAAATCGAATCATATTCGAATTATATAAATATCGAGTTGAGTCAAATTTGGATATGAAAAAAATAAAAAAAAAATTTTAAATCAAGTCAGATTTAAGTTTGATAAATATAAAATTAAATCAAGTTCAATATGAATAAAAATTTGATCCGATCTTATCTATTATCAATTCTAAAAAAAATATCTCAACCACTCAATTAATTTATTTAATTTTTGTGCTTGGTTGAATTAAGAGAAGAAAATAATTTAATGTGAATTTTTTGACACATTCTCGTGTGCATTTTTTTCGAATTTTGCTCTCTAAATTTAATGAGAATTTTGTTCCTATTGCAACAAAATTAAATATCAGTACAACAAATTTGACTTTTCGCCATATTATTTTTTCAAGTTGTACTATGAAAAATCTTTTTGCGAGCCAGTATTTAAGTAACGCTTTTAATATTGGCCAAAAAAAGTATCACTTTTAACAGTACTTTCATAGATTTCACTGCATTTTATTATTTGTATACTAGCATTTTGGATAAAAAAAAAATTGCACTAAAAAGGTTTGGCATTGACTAGCAAGTCTATAAAGTGACTATTCATTTAATTTTTTTTTTAGTCCTTCAAGTTTTTAACAGCAAAATTCTTAGATCTTTATCTATATTTATTATTTTAATAGCACATTTTTTTATAATTTAGTGTGGGGGAAAAAATCAATTATGTTAATACATTTTGATAAAAAAATTTGTTATCTAAAAATATAAAAAAAATTCATGTATTGAGATTTAAACTTAAAATATTAATAATAATAAAAAATTATCCGACACATTGACAATAAATTTTTTTCAATTTCACAAGCGAAATTAAGATAATGACACATATTTTATTTATTTTTTAAATATATAAAAAATATATTTTCATCTTAATTTTACTTGTGAAATTAAAAAATTCAACTGTCAATATATTTGATGAGACTTTTTGTATATTAGATATAGCAAATTAACAATGTTATGCACTCAAAAATAAAAAGTTGGGGATAATTAGTGAAAGCATCAATTACTTCTCTCTTATTTGATTGCTTCAACATTTGAGCTTTCTTTTCTTTTATCATTTAGCTTATCTCCCTTTACACACAAATCTAGTCATAGAACCCATTAACTAGTACAATTTAGAGATAACCTTTCAAAGTTTTCCTTGAAATATTTAACTCTTTAGTGTACCTTTGTATAAATAATTTTTACTTTTTAATATAAAAGAGGCCACACAATCCGAAATTAAAAAAACGAGAATAGGAAGTATTGAAAATCGAATTTTAATCTTGTGAAAATCTACGTTTCAAGAAGGTTGGAGGAATGGTTCGCGATCACAAGGGCTATAAGGATATAGCCTAGAGGGCCTTGGCTCCTCCAATTTTAAAGATTGAATTTAAAATCTTTAAAACAAAACCCAAGTCCTTTAGCTTAAAAATAATAATATGTAGAAATCAACATTAAAATTAGAGGAGGATTGAAGCAAACAATCAAAGGAGCCAATATTATTAGATTTCATAGTGGTCTTGAAGGGTATGCTAAACTAGAACTTTGATTGTTGGTACTCATAGTAGGATGGCAATGGGATAGGGCAGATTTTTCATCCCTAAACCCTACCCTACATCCGATCATGAGCCTATCGTAGCTTTATTTATTGATTTTCTTTTCAAACCCACTTCGCCTCGCCTTCTATCCCAAAATTAAAAATAAAAAAAATAAAAAAAACACCTATATGCGAATGTGACAAGCCTATCGAGTGAGTGCAAGGTATTTTGCCATATCCAATGGTTGAATTCTATATCAAATCAAAACTTTAGAACAATCAAAGGCAAAGAAAAGATGATTAAAGGGCCCCTAAAAAGCAGCGCCACATGATTGGATCCTCCAAATAAACGTGTGTGCTGGGAGGTGCACCTTTTCGTTAACATCCTTTCACTTTTTGGTGTTAAAGTTGGCTTTGGCACCCAAAGTTTCACGACTTAAACCCTATTTTTAATTTTTAATTAATTAATTAATTCTAAAAGAACCCAAAACAACAAAACCCATTTTCTTTTTTACCAAATGAAAAAATAAATAAATACCCCACTACAAGCACCAATCAACTGATTCTGCCACGTACTAGATTGGTCACTTCTCTCCCAAATTTTTTGTTTATTTTTTAATTTTATCTTTTTCTAAATTCGACCTTTTCTATTTTTTTGTGTTTTTAGTACAAATTTAATTTTGGCGAAGTCATAAAAAAAAGAAAAAAAAATCAGTCCCCTTGGTAGCTACTAGCTAGTAATGTGAAGGGCAGGGCAGGATAGGGCATGGATTGTCACATGGAGAGGGCGAAGTACTAGCTTGGTTTTTCTCTGAAAACATGACCTGCTTTTTGTGATTGTGCGTTCCATGTACTAACTCTCCTCTGACGCTCCTTCTTTTCCTGCTACACATGTATATATATAGTTAGGCTATGGAGACCTAATTTGAAATATGGATGGATAAACCCTAAATTTAAAGCCTCAATCCCTGTGAATTAGAATCCATTTTTCTTTGATTGGAAGGTACTTAGTTGTTGGTTGAATTGTATAATTCATTGTTGAAGCCAATTTTGGAGATCTCTTATTCACTTAATAGTATGTTTTCGAGGCCAACTTTGTTCATTATCTAAAACTATTCACAGAGTTTGGCATTCCTTGAAAGGTCCCAAATGATGATTAAGCTATCTAGGACAGAATCATAAACCCTATAAAATAGTGGCAAAGCCAAAATCCAAAAAGTTGAGAGGACATATTGATTATGATGCTAAAATATGACCATAGAACATGGTGTTTCATATAAAATATATACTATTAGTGCTGGTTTTTCCTTTAGCCCATATGCCTTAAGTTAGGAGGAAATTAGGATAAAGATCTAAAATTTGAGTCAATCATTTTTATTTAAAAGTAAAATGTTTGAATCCCAATTCCTGGAGTATACCTATCAAGGTAAAGTAGTCTATACCGTACTGATAGGCATATTGTTTTTGTTTTAATATTAGTATATATTGATATTTATGTGTGTAAATGATACATTATTACTCATAAGTTATTAGGATTTAACTCAAATAAAATTCGAATTTAGTTCGGTTATTATCAAGTCAAGTTTGAATTTGAGTAACTCGAATTGTCAATCAAACGAATTTGAATATTCTTATACTTGGATCGAGTAACTCGTAAGCCTAATTGAGCTTTTATTATTTTAATTAATAAAATATCTTGAACTCGAGTTTGAATTCAAATACAAATAATCAATTTTTGTTAAATATAAGATTGAATTTATTTTTACATATTAGTCGAGTATGATCGAATAAGCTCGAGTCACTCGATTTCTATCTTAAGTCGAGTTCAAATTAAAAAAATAAAATTCGATTGAGTTCGAATCGAGTTTCAAACATCGAATTTCGAGTCAAGCTGTAATCGAACTTAATACTATATCAACTTACACTCGATCGATTATATTCCTATTGATATCGATATGTTTCAACTTATCATTTCAAGTTGTTGGTATTATCTAATATTTTGTGTATAGAAATATATATACTCATGCAAATACACCTCAATTATATACATTTGTATGTTTATATGCAAATATAAATTTTAAAATTATGAATATCTAATATTCAAAAATTTTAAATCGCAAATAAATAAAATAAATATAAAAAATTAGGAAAATATAGCAAGTTATTGTTCAATAATTTAATTTAATAAATATGTATTATTTTTGGATGAAAATGTGAAAAAATTAAAAAATAATGAAAAAAATTAAATTTTGATTAAAAATAAAATGAACGAAAAAATTTTTATAAACATTGTTCCAACCAAAAATGAAGCTAGAAATATGAGAAAGGAGGAGTCAAATCGTAATTTTATTAGGAAAGAGGGGTCAAGCATTAATTTTGGTGGGATGCGGTATTGTTTTATAATGGTTTAAAATTTTTTTTTTTCAGAGCTAACTCCCTGGAACCATACAAGTCAAAATAGATGATAAGGGTTGAGTTACCATCATTATATCTCATTTACATTCAAGTTATATTATTTAATTATATTAATAAAAAATTAATTATTTA